GTGAGAGAGAGAGAGAGAGAGAGGGTGGGGGAGAAGGGATCTCATAGTCTTTTTTTGAAACGTTATGCGGAAAATGAAGGAGAGAAGAAAACCGATAAAAGGCTAACGAGTAAGAGGATTGTACTTGTCATGGTTGCAGGCTCTGTTATCTTATTGATCGATGAGGTGCACACTTTGGTAGGGTCAGGCTCTGTTGGCAGAGGAGGTGGTGGTGGGGGAGGGGGTCTGGACATTGCCAATCTCTTGAAACCTGCCTTGGCTCGCGGCTTTTTTCAGGTATGTAAATAAACTGCTGGCACTGTCTTTTTTGTCTTTTTTTTGTTACTTGTGAATGTGCACTTACTACCTTCTTTGCCCGAACACAGCATATGGTCATTGTTGCTGTATTTAGACTGGAAAATACCCCAAATACAGCAATTATAATGAAGGCATGTTGTATTTGGGTGAAGAAGGTAGGGGTGTGCTTTAGAACTGCAACCACTCTCTTTATGAAGAGGTATGCCATGCTTTTTTTTTCACTTCTTTTTTTTTCTTGCATTTTTATATGCCAGGCTGTAGATGTGACGAAGAAGGGAAAAATGACAAAGGAAGGGAAAATGACTTTTTTATTTTTTATTTTTTATAAAGGAAATGAGAAATGACTGAGAAAGACATAAGAAGTTAGGAGCATAAATTTCTCTAGGTTTTTATTATTATTTAAGCTTCTCCTTTTTTTTCCCCGGTTTCTGACTTTCCAGTATTTTAATTAATTTATTGATATATATATATATATTTTTGGTCAATTTTTGCGACGTTCTGGCCCTCTTGCTGTTTATGGGCCTCGCTCCACCATTCTCGACATGCACAAAAGACAAAAATCATGGCGGTGTATCTTTCCATGTTCTAGCGAAAGATTCACTCTCGTTTTGCACATTTTGTGAGTAGTGGAGCGAGGCGCTATGTGTGCTGGAACCGGACGTGCTTGTATATTGTTGTAAGTAACTGTACACTGCTGCACACATTTTGTGAGCAGTCTGAGACTCTGAGGGTATGTTCACACTGACTTTTCTGGATGGCCTGTTGTGGACGTATCTGACGGCAATCATGTCCAGAGCTGAGTGAAAAAGGTCCTAGTGTGAGTATATGCGCTGAGGTATTCTTTGATGTACACCTGAATTTTTCTTTTTTTCCAATCACCCGGGCCCATGTGGCTGAAAGGTATAATACCGCATGTTACTTGGACTGACTGTTTTTTTGATTTTCTTTTTTTTTTGATTTTTTTTTTTTTTTAAGAAGAGGGGCCCAGTGCCCAAGGCTGATATTATCAACAATACTTGGACTGACTGTAAAGAGATCAAGAGTTCGAACTTCAAAGCCTGATCCAACCGGATTAGCTTTTTTTTCTTTTTTGGATTACGAATTGGATGTAATAAATTAATAATACTATTATAAATTTATAATAGTATAATAATACATAAATATAAATACTATTAATCTGGGCTGTTTTTCCGGGGACCCGGGCACCCAACTTGTGCCCGGATACACGCCCAGGTGCCCGACCGGGCATGACCCCTGGGCAAGGTTCCGGGCAGCCCCAGCCCCCCCCCCAAAAAAAAAAAAAAAACGAAAGTAAAAAAATTCCAGAAAAAAAAGATGATGTGTAGAATTCCAATACAAACAACTTTTGGCTGAGGGTCACGTCAGAATTCCTCACCGAATCGGAGATAGAAAAGAAACTAACAAGATCACACTAAGGCACCCCCCTTTAAACCGCCTTAGCCCCTTCAAAACAAATTTATACCTGCCTTCCCCCCCCCCTTGACAGCCAACTCTCACAAAATGAAAAGAGCCCGGATTTGGGGTCCTCTGGGAGAGCGCAGAAAGGCTTTTTTTTTTTTTTTTTTTTTCGCATGCCCGGGTGCCCGGCCAGGCATGAAAATCTTCCTAGCTATTAATAATAATAATAATAATAATAATAATAATAATAATAATAATAATTTACAAAGTAATACAATAATGTTAGGGGCCTCTCCTCTTTAAATAGTGTTTTTTATGACGGTTGATCACTTATTTTGTGGGAAAATTAAACTGATTTTGTTTTTTCGGTTGCTTGTGTTCTTATACTTTCTATCTATTGTGTGGTGGAAATATGCTCTCTCTCTCTCTCTCGCCCTCTCTCTCAGTGCATCGGTGCAACAACGTTGGACGAACATAGAAAGCACATCGAGAAGGATAAAGCTCTCGCACGGCGGTTCCAACCTGTCATGGTTCATGAGCCGACAGAGGTGAGTCACCGTGAGCGGGAATGCTTTTTTTTTTTTTTTTTTTTTTTTTTTTGGTGCCAATATGTGATGGGGAGTGGGAAGTTTGGAACTTAACTAGGAATATACTATACTATATAGAAGTTTATTTAACTTATTATTATATTATTAGTTTAATTATTTTTTATTGTTTCTTTCGCTAGTGGACTGTTCTGTATCTTTTTAGGCCGTACTTGCACCAGGACTTCCATGGATGAATCTGACCTGAGATGCAGCCACGTGCACAGTCTAGAAAGTTGTATGGTGACGAGCACACACCCTTGAAGAGTACATGCCGTCGAAGGAATTTGACACTTTCCCACAGAGATATGGGTGTGCCAGGCTGTCATGAACCTGGTCCAGACTGGGAAGCACATGCAGAGCTGGACCCCACAGAGATATGGGTGTGCCAGGATGCCATGAATCTGGTCCAGACTGGGAAGCACATCCAGAGGTGGACCCCACAGAGATACGGGTGTGCCAGGATGTTGTGAATGTGGTCCAGATAGAGACCACGAGACCCTTTTTTTTTTTTTTTTTTTTTTTTTGGTTGTTGTTATTGTTGTTGTTGTTGTTGTTGTTGTTTTTTGGAGGAATCCATTATAGCAATTTGAAAATCAGCCCGGGAAAAGCCTACCACGATGTTTTTTGGTAGCCTGATATGGGTGCTCCACGCAGGCCATCAAGAACCTGGTCCAGGTACAGATCAGGTTCATGCTAGCCTGACATGATTTTATGTAGGCCTGATCTGACCTGCATACCTTTGAAATAACTAGTTTCGTGGACTGGGGCCCAGAAATACCGAAGGTTAATTTTTTGGTGGGCACCTGAAACCTTGTTTGGCTGGGGGGGAGGAGAGGGGGGGGGGGGGATCAGAAAACAGCGGCCCATTTGATTTTCAATCTGACGTGCAATGGTCGCAGAGGAGTTCCCTCGAAAACAAACATGGCGGTTTTTTTTTTCTCCCCCCCTTTTTTTTTGAACAAATTGGCTTGTATTGGTTTGAGATCGGGGTGCGTTGTGTTTGAGGGAAGAGCCGTCTTCCCTCCAGTAAAACGTACGGTCATTATCGATGTACCTGGACTAAAAGTTCCACCAAGTGCAGCTATAATGACGGTATGTTCTATTCAGTGGAGACAGTAGGTGAGTAGTATAACTTTGTAAGTTAATAACTGAGCCTTCCTCAGATTCCTCTATTTTTTAAACATCCTCCTCTCCCCCCCCCCCTCTTCTCCCCTTTTTCTCCCCTTTTATTTCTCAAGGAACTCTTTTGTTTTTTCCAATCCTTTTAATTCACAAAATAAGCTGATTGATGTCTTTTGTTTTTATTATGATGGGGTAACTTTTGCGCAGTCCTGAAAAAGGTTAAGTTTCAAAATGCATTTCAGGCATCCCCCTTAAACATAACACCCCCCCCACCAGACCCTTATAAGTGAGCTTGTATATATTGAACATTTGCAGCTTTATGGCTAGACTGCATTTTGGGATTTTGAAACTCACTCAAAACTGTGACTGCGCGCGAGTTCTCCCTTTTTTTTATTTTTATCATTTTATGTATGTGATAGGTCTTTTTGGGCCTTCATTTCTGTGTGTAATTGGAGAGTTCTGGACACATGAACGGTCTGACCGCTGTGCAGGAAGATACTGTTGCAATCCTAATGGGACTTAAGGACCGATACGAGCAGCACCACCATTGCATGTTCTCGACTGAAGCAGTGGAATCAGCAGTGCACTTGTCTTCGAGGTACATTATGGACAGATATTTGCCAGACAAAGCCATCGATCTGATTGACGAAGCAGGGAGCCGTGCACGAATCAATGCTTTCAAAGCTCGAAAGGATAAGCAAAGCAACATTCTTCTGGAAGCACCGAGCGAGTACTGGAAGGAGATCCGCCATATCCACGCCTTGCGAGGGGGGAATAGTAGCGAGGGATCTCCTGCGCAGGAGGTGGGACGACGCTTCACATATCTTCTTCTTCACCACCTCCACCTCCCATCTGACCACCTCCTCTCTCCAACCCAACTCTCCTCTTAGTCTCTTTCTTGTTGAAGGCTTTCCAAATCCCTTGTCGAAGTCTCTTCTCCTACAGGGCTTTCCTCCTCATCTCTCCTCTTCCAGCTCTCTCTCCTTCCTTAAACCTGTCCTAAGCCCTCTCCTCCATGCCGCCGCCCTGCTTCCTCTGCTTTTTTCCGACTCTCTCTCGTCCAGCAACTCTCTCCTCAGCAGCCCTGTCTGCTGGCTCTCCCCCCTTCCAGTCCTGTCCTCTAGCTTTCCTCTGCTTCTGCTAGGTCTATTCCTGTCTCTTATACACATCTAGATGTGTATAAGAGACAGGTACACAGGCACGCAGACAGACAAAAGCGCGGCAGACACACACACACACACACACACACACACACACACACACACACACACAGAGAGAGAGAGAGAGAGAGAGAGAGAGAGAGAGAGAGAGAGAG